CTACAGTCATGGTTAGCACACAACAGCAGGCACTCAGGAAGTAGATGTTTCCATGGGATCCTATAAGAATCTTTAGATCCAAATTAAATTTTTAGCTCTTTTGTAACCGTTGGGTTAACTTATCTCTTTGACACAATTATGCCAGAAGTATTTTAAAGGGCAGGGTAATATCTGTGTAGCCTGGTGCAGTTGTAGACCTTCCACAGTCGAAGTAGAGTTCTTAGTGAGCTAGACTTTAGTAACAGCATGGAAACGTTTAACACTCTGATACCACTGGCTTTAACTACTCCTACTTTGTAAGACAAAATGCATAACTGTACTAAATTGTATCTGTCACTACCAATGGGGGGTTTTAGCATGGTAAACAGGTACAGACAAAAATAAAACAATGTTATCAGATCTTTTACTCAGCTTAAAACTACTAAAGACAGCAAAGGCACATTGAAGTTAGCAGTATTTCAAACAGAAATCCAGAATTGATTACCTGGAAGTTAGAAAATATGAAGATAGGAAATTATTTTCTACAAAGATAATGGTAATGAGAAACCATATTCAATTATTTGCATGTTTTAAACCATGAAGGAAGTAAAGAAAAATCTATTACATAGCACCAGATATAGTCCCAGTTTGTTTAGTCATTGTAGTGATTAGAAAACATTGCTGGAAAGGAAAGAAAAAAAAATAAGGAAATTTGTGTAAATGTGTATTCCTTAAAATGATGTTCCTTAGACGTTTTCAAAAAATCCCTAATCTCAAGACCTTTGATTTTATGTATTTAATAGACTGTAGAAATAAAACATTAAAATGTTCTCTGTGCCATTTCAAAAGTTAGTGGCCCACCGCTGGTGAAGCTGAACTTGTCCACTGGCAGAGGACCCAGATCAGGCACCATTAGCCTTTGAGCAGTAGGAGGCCCTGCAGATACAGTAGTGGGCAGTGCTACGGAAAGACCAAATTCAGAGGGCCAGTGAATTCCCTTGTGGTAAACACAGTACTGACTGTACCACTGAAGTCGGAAATTATTAGGCTCAAGAAAACCAGGCCTTTTCTGAGAATCTTCCAAGCATCCTAGTGTAACAGAACTTCTACCCTCAGCTAGCTTCCTTCACTTCTCTTGGCAGCTTTATATGCTGCTTCCATGAGCACTGATTTTGGCTCCAAACAAGACAGAATCCTTAACAACTTCAGTCTTTTCTCCCTGGCTCGTGCTATTACCTATTGGACCCAGTTGTGAGGATTCAGGTCTTCCTTACATTGAGTCATAATCCATAGTGAAAGCTGCAAACCCTGATCTTCATCAGTGAGTGCGTCAAGTCCTCCTCACCTTTAGCAAGCAAAGCTGTGTCTTCTGCCTATGGCAGGTTGTTAATAAGCTTTCCTCCAATCCAGAGCCTCATTCTGATTATTTGCTTAGCCCACAAATTAAATAAATATGGTGAGAGGATACAACCCTGACACAGAACTTTCCTGATTTCACTCAGCCTTTTCTGTAGATTAATCTATGGAATAGACAACCCCCTTAATGTAAGCCTAAATTATTACAAGTGTTTCATATACGTGGAGTACGGATGTGTGTACAAGGGGACTTCAAAAAAGTTCATGGAGAAATTCTATTATTTTCATTTTTCCACAAACTCTTCAAAATTCCTGCATACAGGAGCTTGGCTGGCACAAGCAATTTGCAAATGATTGCTCACCCAAAGGTTGGGGCTCAAGCCCACGGCACAGTTTTTTCTTGTAAAATGTGAAACACTGTAGCATGGGGCTGATTTGAGGGCATTTAACAATAGCATATGCATCAGGGAGCTTCCAAAAGTTAGCCATTTTCCACACACTTGTTGTAGTCCCCCCA